AAATGAATTTAACAAATTTCGAAAATATTAAAATGATTTTTAAGTAATTAATAACTAAAAATACTTAATATACATGTTTGAACTGGATTAATATAATAAATTGTTTATTTGATATTAACACAATGATAATATTAAATTAGGTGCATTTATTATCAGAACTGTAATGGTTATTTTTAAATAATTATGTTATAACAATGAAAATTAATTTATTTCGAATATAAATGTAATTTCAGATAAATGATTTTTATTGAATATTTATTATTGGTAATTGCAGTCCAACTTATAAATGTACTCAATTGATTCACTCAACTTTATTGACTATTTTAAACAACCTTATGATAAGAAGCTCTTCATTTTAGAAGAATGTGTGAAAAATTACAGAGAAAAACAAAATTCTCAAAATGTCTTATTATTTAGTTGTGAAATATGTTATGAAGATAAACCATACAGTGATACTTATGTTAATAGATGTGGTCATAGATTTTGCAAGTCGTGTATTCGTGATTCAATTAAAGAGCAAAAGACTAATACATGGCGAAAAGTTCATTGCCCACAGCATGGTTGTTCACAAGTTATTGAAATATCAGATATCAATTTATACAATTTAGTTGATGACAAACAGTTAATAACCGACTACACTGAAAGACTCAATAAAAAGATGTTTGAAGAACAAACAATTTTGTGTCCAAAATGTCACAACTCGTTGTTATCATTAAACGGCGCTGTGAATGCGCAATGCCCACACTGTAAACACGAGTTCTGTAAAAAATGTTTGTGTGTTTGTCACCCCGGAAAAACATGCGAGGAGTGGAAAAAACAAGTCGATGATGATAATGAGAACATGAGAAAAACAACGGAATGGATTAAACAAAACACAAAAATATGCCCAAAGTGCAAAAACCCAATTCGTAAAAATGGAGGATGTAACCATATGACTTGTAGGTTTGTTTATTCTGTTTAAAACACTGAAATGTTAACTTTTGATACAATATCATAAATACTGACTTTAAGTTGTGGACATCAATTTTGCTGGCTTTGTATGGCTGACTACACAAATACTCATTTTAAATCGAATACAACTGGGTGCAAACAATTTACTAATTGATTTTATATCAGTTTGAAATTAAAAACAAATTGTTTTTGAATAAAAAATGTTTTAAAATAAACTTGATAATTGTGTTCAAATTAATTCATCGACACTCAAATGGTTTAAAGAAAAACATATAGTTTTCAAATTATTCATTACTAAATTTTGTTTTTGTTTTTAACTTTACAATGTTGTTAGAGTAATAACATCAA